ATGGATGCTCTCCCAACAGGCTGTTTAGGCAGGCAGCAACATTATGTTGCTTTCTAGGAACTAGTTTTGGTCAAATTCCAATAATTCAATCCAGTAAATCCCTGAGTGAAAAAAATCCAATATGTTGGAAGATAAGAGGAATGTAGACTCTAAAGCATAAAAAGTAGTAAACAGAAATAAATGTTTGTTTCTCCTCTATATCTATTGTTTTAATCGAAGAACATACTAAATCCACATATTGAATCCTTTGAATCACAAAATGAATCATGTTTTCATTATTTAGTTGGCAAGGCAAATCCAGTATATCTGTTAATAAAAAAGTTTGACAACAAGAAGCATTCTTATAATTACAACAGAGTGTTGAAGTTAAACAAATGTTCTTCCAGTAATGTTAATAATAGAACATTCATTCTGAGTTATCTGGCCTTTAATAATCCCTTAATGTTGGCATTGCGAATAAAAACATATTTTGTTAGCTGGGACTTATGGGGGGCCTTTGAATATTGAGTTGGACAAAAAGGGGACCTTTGAGTAAAAACAACGTGAGAAGCACTGACATTTAATGAAAGATATTTATTTCATTAATGAGAAGTATCTACAAAAATAAATTAAAATTGGACTGTTGTACTCAATATTTGTGTGTGCTATAGATTTTTGTGCTTATTAGAGAGTGTTGATAGCTTACCATCATGCTAACGTCAGGCTGTTGGAATCAATTGAAAGGCTGTGTTCCGAACTGTGCACATGATATAAAATTGCGGTTTTGTGGAACATCCCCAAGTCCATAGGACTGTAGGGTATTCCAATTGTAATTTTATGATTTATGATCCACTAGTGCGAACTCCACAGTGGACTATTACCCAGCAGTCTATGTGGCAAAGTGTAGAGTCAGAGGGGGTGCCATTTGGGACGGGGCCTAAATTGAGTCTCCTGAGCATGTTATGTGAAGAGCACTATTTTTGCACTATAGCTCTATTGATAAGCACTATAGTTGTTGTCTTTGTAAAGCATTTTAAAGTCAGTCACGTATAATGCTCCATTTAGGTTACAGTTCTGCCTATGCAGGCAGTAGTGCGACTAAATTCTGGAATAAAGCCATTGACACATTATTTGACACATTTTGTGACATCATTTTTGTTTCTCTTTTAACCCTATATAAAGAAAATATAAAGAAAAAATGCATGAAATACACCCCCAGGCATTTCCAAATGAAATAGACTTTTTTTTTCTCTCTAGGGCTTAAATATCACAGGGATGTGAAGCCATCATGATAGCTAACCCTCGGTTTGCTAAACCGAAAATGTAAATTATGTCATTATTTACTTGTTCCAATTCCAGAAGATTTTCTTACACGGAGCACAAAAGGTGATATTTTGCTGAATGTCCAAGCTGCTTATTTCTATACAATGAAAATAGACCGTGATTTATACTGCCAAGCACCTTAAAAGTTCACAGAGTTCAGTCTATACGCCTCGGGTCTTCAGATGCTAAAGGAATAGCTCCTTTTGTCTTTGACAGAAGAAAGAAAATCACAAGGGTTTTTGGAACAACTTGAGAGTAAGCAAATGATGACAGAATTTTCATTTTCGAGTAAACTATGCTTTCACCTTAAAGCAACAATTCATCCAAAAATAAAAAATTCTGCCATAATTTGCTTACTCTGTCATGTCATTTCACCTCTGTATGATATTTATATGATACTTATTTCTGTGGAACATAAAAGAAGATGGGTGAGGGTGAGTAAATGATGGCATAATTTGCATTTATGGGTGAACTATCCCTTTGTAAGGATGGTTTTCCTACGGTGGTTCAGGCTGTAGGATTGCCGAATGACTAAAGAAACGTTATCAACACGATGGTATTAAAAATTCTGCCATAATTTGCTTACTCTGTCATGTCATTTCACCTCTGTATGATATTTATATGATACTTATTTCTGTGGAACATAAAAGAAGATGGGTGAGGGTGAGTAAATGATGGCATAATTTGCATTTATGGGTGAACTATCCCTTTAATGTATTAAAGAATATATAAAGGAATTGTTGCAAAGAACCTTAAAAATACAGTAAAGTGAACCACAGCAGCAAAAGAAAGGTGTTGTTTTTTCGCAGGTCTATCAGAATCAAAATTAATTCAGCTAAATATCCTGTAATTCTGCTAAATACGGTAGCAGGGGGACAGAATTGACTTAAGCTTGTGCTCAGGATTTTTTAAGCCTTGGAAATGCTCCCTGGCAGGAGAAAGAAGGGTAGCTTGAGGTTCTTTGAGTTGCGAAAATTGTACCCTTTCGCCTCTGTTCTGCCAGCTGAGCGTGTGCCAAAATAATAAAGCCGGCATGGAGGCCTACCAATCATTTTGTACAGCCGTTACACCTTGGACCCGTGTTGAGAGGGCAAAGGCACTATCGGAACATCCAGACCATGGGGTGAGGGGCCGTCGTTGGCCAGGTGTCCTGAGTGGGAGAGCAGCCTTTGTTCCTAGTAGCCGCTGTGAAAGATGAAGTGGGCATCTGTGAAACACAAAAAGGAAGTGAGTGTTGAAGACAATACATTCTCTGTTCATTCCTTTATTCTGTGGTGACAGTGACCTTTAAAAATGGCTCATCTTCCCACCCAGCTATTATCACTGTAGTCTATCCTTCCTAGATTTGAGAGGAGGTCAGCGTTTAAATAAACTTCTAAGCCAAACAATAAAACATGACTCATTTAAATGGGTCAATAAACCCAAAAGTATACTTGATACAAGCCAACTCTGTACCAGAGGGTAAAACTTCAGTCAATATTCAACATAACTGGTTGAAATTTATGTAATACATGTCCAGGTCACTTTTCACCAAAAAATCAATTAAAAAAAAAATCTACAATTTTATTTTGCATTTAGAAAGAAACCCAATTTTCAGGACAATTAATGCATTTCTTCCAAATACTAATTATGGTAATTCATCCCCATACAGTATATATTTTAGCCGCAGTTATACTTGCTGATTATATAAAGAACTCTCTAAAGCTATCTTACCCATCTACCCTCAATGGTCTGACAGACACTTTTAGAGGTGAAAGACTTTGGATGACACACAAGACAAACCTTTTTTTCTTCCATATCTGCTTTCAGAATTTTCTACTGACAAGAGCTGCTGTGGCTCTGAAGTGCTCTTTGGATGTGGAATAAAATGGATTTCACAGGACTAGGGACAGGATTTAACAGCTCATACTTATCAAACAGACAGCCTCATTTTCTCTTGGTTACCTTCACTGTGGACTGCAGAACCCGTTTTGAAGTCAATTCCTGAGCAGTGAACTGAAAAGTAGAATAGATTAGACTTCTGTCTGCTTCCTGACACCAAAGATCGCTCTATTTAGTAAATTACAAAAACATGTGATGATACAAATATGTATTTTGGACAAATACCATGCTAGCAATGTGTTATTCTTTAGTACATCTGCATTTATTTGCTTATCCATTCCTTTTTTATGTGCTATATCTATCTGGGCTTGACCAGTTCAAAATCATTGAGGCAGTTAAATTAGCGGGCCCTATTTTAGAAATATTCCTTATCGTTCAGCAGGGACGGTCAAGGTTGTTCTGTGGACCCCACTGTATTCCTGTGAAAATCCAATATTCTTCTGACCTGCTTAGTATTTAAAATCATTCACTGCCACAGAGTCCTTGTATCGAATCTGAATTTCAAGTGACTCTAAAGAGATTGTGTAATTGGTCTATGCTGCACTCTTTCCTCTGTGTTTTGAGCCCATTCAATTATAAATATAGTGCCAACTTTAAATCCTGAGCATAAATATTTGCAAACCGAATAAGAAACTCATTACAAAAGCCACTGATATTTGTATGCTTGTGGAAATTCCATGTAGTAACAAATTCATATAAACTGGATAAGGCTAGGATGCACTGATTTAGACAATTTGATGGTTGATAGACAGAAAATTTATGACCAATATCCAATATTATTGCCAATATTATAAATCTAATAATGCTCTGTTTTTTTTCTGTAAACAATGAGTGAAATCACATGATGCTAGTGAAATTAAAACATTATAATGTACAGAGCAAAGAAAATCATACCTGAAAATTGTGTAAATTCTTTGTTGAAAGCTTTATAACAGTTACCTCTAGACTGCGAAGTGCAAATGATGTTTGTGAACAGAAAGTGCATCTATCTTACAGGAATGAATCTAATCCAGATGTGTTTATGCTGGAACAACTGTTGCCTCGCCTCAGCCTTAAGGAAACTATTCGAGGAAAGCTTAACATTTGCCAGAGCGCCGTTATCTTATATAGCAGGAGAACAGTTCAGCCAACAAAAGCAGCTGTTTTAAAGCTCTCTGTGTTGTTTCTATAGAAGTTCAAATGCGAGTCAGCATATGCAAATACATGTTTGGTTCCAGGAGGCCTTTCTTAGTGGACAGAGGGTTGACCACAATCACTACCCACAAACCCCGATACTTCCTATCTGACCAACACTCCCTAACTCCATTACAAGAGACTTTAAAACCGTTTGGGATGGGAAATATGCCTCCAATATGTGAATGGCCCATAGTGAAGCGTGTGGTAGCTAATGGCTAATCTACGTATGCAGCATTAATGCTTATGAATGTTCCACAGTAATGGTATATTCAAATGTATGTGCCATTAAACCAAATAAGTTATCCTGTTGTTAAGTCTGACATCATGTGTCACTGTTTCTGGGTCCAAATGCTTCCTAAAGCAAACACCAAAAGTTGTTTCTTTGTGCTGTAGGACTCCTAAAAAATCGTGAGCCTAACTTTTATCTCCATACTGAACTATTTGTTTGCCAGACAGAGATTCTGCTTTTCTGAATTGTTAAAATATTCTGTCCTTGATAGTGAGCCCAGGGACTGCGGTGTACTTAAAGGTGCACTATAAATTAAAAGTGTTCATAAATAGCTGTTGAGATCGTATTCTCACTTGAAAGTGAGTAGAGGCTTGGACACGGAAACAGCATTCGATATGGCACAACATAACACATGGATTATTCAGGTAGGCAGCTGTAAACAGTTCAACTAACTTTCACTTGCTCAGCAAGATGAACTGTTGCTTCTCCATGACAGTTGGTGTCCTCAAATAGACACTGTAGGGCAAATTCCAAACAACGTTTTTGCACACTTGAAGGGCACTTCATGAAGGGGACACCACACGAAGGGTCGTTTCAAGTAAAATTAAGCAACATAACTACCTCACAGAGTTCCCTCCCTCATGGTCGTTACCGAAGGTCATTCCAAACGGTTGTTCCTAACAGCCATATTATGAGACACAATTGCCTTGCTCCCTCGAAAGTCCCCACTTCAATGCCTCTGTCCTTCAGAGTGAGTAGGGAATAGGGATGCTTACTTACAACTGGAATTCGCCCTTACCACAGAGAGGGCAGCTTATGCTAATGGATGCTATAGTGGCAATGTTGAAAATGCAACTCATATTTGGGTTACATTATGGCACATCTTGGAACCCGTCTACACACTAGACACTTAATTGGGGTAGCCAACCCTCCTCCTGGAGGACTTTCTTCCTGTAGACTTTAGTTCCAAACCTGCTTTGTAATTTTAAATAGCCAAACTGGTTTAAAATCAAGCTGGAAAACAGAAAAGTGGATTTGGCTGGCAACATTGGACCCACCTCTCTAGGACACTTATTGGGCAATTGATGTATATGTCAAGGTGAACTGTAGTTACATTTCTCAACTTTTGGTTATAGTGATGGAGTGTCACTTTCCTTAGTGAAAATCAATGATTTTGCAGCATTCTCGGAAACAAAACAATCTCCCTGAAAGCATCTGAAATCAGTGTGCCAGCTGTGCTATTTCAAGCAAATCCAGGCTTTATCAAATGCAGTGCGTACTCTGTCAGTATGTGATTCCAACACAGCTTCAGTATTGAGTTTAAGAGGGGAGAAGTGCGTCTTCATTAGCGGTGATTCCAGACATTAACTCTTGATTTAAAGCAGTAGAATGATGACTTTTGGTTCTTGTGCTGGCCCCAGTCATGCCATCTCTTTGTTGACTCGCCATAAACCAGTCTCAACTGCTTCCAGCTAGATTTAGCATTTGACTCATCACTTGGTGCAGCATTTAAAAAAAAACTTAAAAAGCTCATTATTCATTTCCTCTCCAAGAAGTACTGATGAATCAAATTATATATCCACACAAAGTCCTGATGACTCTCGAGGCCAAGATTTGAATAATTTATGAGGACAAATGCAAAGTAATTGCTCTTAGTTTGACTTTTTGCATTGGACTTGTCAGTTCTAACCCCCATTTCCTTTTGAGAGAGCAACATAACAAGATATTCAAATGTGTTCTGATGTCCAAGGGCTCTGTTTGTAATTTTACATTTATAATTAAAATGATTTATAATGCATTTGCTCTGTGTTATACTCTCGGTGTTACTTCAATGTTTGGTCATTTTCAGACACTAGTAGTAAAGTTTTGACATTTGAATGGATGCGTTGGACTCTCAAATGCAAGAATAAAATAAATATTGAGATGAACAAATGTTGAAATATATTAAATACTTGGAATCTAAAGCCACAGCTCATGTTCATTCACACAAAAGTAATTTGACTTTTATTGCGATGATGCAAATACCATCTGTTATTAAATCCCTCAACCCAAAGTTCAACCTAATTTTAGTTTATCATATTATTTATGAGAAATCCAGTGCTGATTTTATCCTCTTTCTTCATAGAATCAGCAGTGAGGAACTTCAGCCCATTCCAGTTCTCCATGGAGCCGTCAGATACGCTGGCAGTGCGGGGAGCGCCGACACTGCTCAACTGCTCAGTCCACAGTGAGTTTCCTGCCAAGATCGAATGGAAGAAAGATGGCTCTTTCCTCAGCCTGGCCTCAGACGATCGCAGGCAGGTCCTGGCCGACGGTTCTCTGCTCATCAGTTCAGTGGTCCACTCTAAACACAATAAACCCGATGAGGGGGTGTACCAGTGCGTGGCCACTATAGACAACCTGGGCACCATCATAAGCCGTACAGCTAGACTCAGTATCGCAGGTAAGCCACTTGTGGTTTGATATACATATCTACACAGCAGTCTCACACAAACTGTGTGATATATGCATCATATATTGACCCATGTTGGGCAGTGGCTCTCGACTGGTTTTGGTTCAAGACATTGTTTCTATAAGTGCAAGGACAGAATGACAGTGAGAGAGCTCTGTTTGTCTGTCCTGCCTTCATCCTTCATCGATATTGCCTGCAATGGAGTTCAATAAGTCGGTCAGGGTGTCTGCAGATGCAGATGTTTGGCAGTACAGCTGCTGCTATATTGGGCCCTTTGAGTCGAAATGAGAGTGACCTTGTTTCATTTGCAGGAGGCAAACAGCAGGGATTATGAGGTGTTTGAGTTGGGTCTTACCCTGAATTTCAGTTTGCCGTTGGAAGGAAAAAAGGAATGCAATTAAGTTACATCAAGCCCTTACAGTCTTGCAGTTGACTGTGTAACTTCACTAAAATCTCTCTGAAGGAGTTCTGCTCTGAAAATCAGAGACAAATGCTTTTTTTTGAAGGAGCACAAGAGTCTTTCCTCTCTGGAAGTCTGTTTTGAATGAACACGCTCATTATTTCTCAAAAACCGACATGAAGTGCAAGTTGGAAATTTTCATTGGCCTTTTTAGTGAGGTATTCTCAGCTGTGCAACAGATTGAACCAAAGTGTGTGATTTTCTGACAGTCCGCACAGCTTAAATGGTGTTTCAACAAAAATCCTACTACTGGTTTTTGGGATTTTCCCATAGGGATGGAAAATCACAACTTCTATAATACCTCAAATGTTTCTCCTAGACAGTTTTCTTGGGTGAAATGGACCGTATAGTCTTGCGTATATCTAGTCTAAAGCAAAGTCCATGAACAGTAATGTATAGATTAATATACTTATATGTTTTATTTTAAAGGGGTCATATGATGTTGCTAAAAATAACATTATTTTGTGTATTTAGTGTAATGAAATGTGTTGCGGTTTAAGGTAAAAAAAACACAGTATTTTCCACATACTGTACATTATTGCTTCTCCTCTATGCCCCGCCTTTCTGAAACACGTGGATTTTTACAAAGCTCATCGGTCTGAAAAGCGAGGTGTGCTCTGATTGGCCAGCTATCCAGTCAAGTCAAGTTTATTTGTACAGCGCTTTTCACGATACAAATCATTGCAAAGCAACTTTACAGCAAATTAAGTTTCTACAATATTTAGTGGTAGCTTATCAGTGGTGACTGTCAGTTAATGTACATATGGCAGAAATGTATGGAAAAATCAATTTA